AGGTATACATGTGCCATGGTGGTTTGCTGCACCCATCAACCCATCATCTAGGTTTTAAGCCCTGCATGCATTAGGTATTTGTCATAATGCTCCCCCTCTCCTGAATCCCCCCTTTTCTTTCTTTTTCTTTTTTTTTTTGAGACAGAGTCTCACTCTGTCGCCAGGCTCAAAGGGTTATGAGAACCTCTGCAGTGGCGTGATCTCGGCTCACTGCAACCTCCGCCTCCTGGGTTCAAGCTGTTCTCCTGCCTCAGCCTCCCGAGTAGCTGGGACTATAGATGTGTGCCACCAAGCCCAGCTAATTTTTATATTTTTAGTAGAGATGGGGTTTCACCATGTTGGCCAGGATGGTCTCGATCTCTTTACTTCATGATCTGCCTGCCTCGGCCTCCCAAAGTGCTGGGATTATAGGCATGAGCCACTATGCCGGGTGAAATCCTCCCTTTTCATAAGGACACTAGTCATTGTGGATTAGCGTCCACACAAATGACCTCATCTTCACTTGATCACATTGGTAAAAGACCTTATTTCCATGCAGGCCACATTCACAGGCACTGGGGGTAACAATGGCCACATCTTTTGGTGGGGGTGGGACACACAGTTCATCCCTTAACAGTCCTGCTTTAATTCTGGAGAGCCTGTATGAATAATAATTGCTCTGGAACTCCGTCAGTGCCAGACATTATTCTAAGGTCTTGAGACTCATTAACTCAGTTAAGCCTTTCAAGGATACAGGCTCCATGATGGTCTATTCTACAGATGATGGAACTGGGGCATGGAGGCGAAGGATCTTGTCCATGTTCTCATGGTGAGTAGGTAACAGAAGTAAGATTCAAGCCCAGCTGTGGAGCCACCATGCTGAATTGCTGAGATACAGATGGAAGAAGATGGAAAGGAAAGGGGGAAGGGAAGAAAGGAAGAAGTAAAGGGTACACAGAGGGTGAAAAGAGCCGCAGCAGGGGTGGTGGCAGACCAAGACACACACGCACAGCTAATCCATCAGTTAATCAGCAACCATTTATTGAGCACCTGTTGTATTCTCAGAGCTCCACTTGGCTGGAGAGACAGCCCATGATTTAAACCCCAGCTCTTACTTCTACAGAGCTAACTTCTACAGAGCTACTGGCTGGAAGTGCAGTAATAAAGGAGCAGTGAAAGGCATTGGTCTGATCTGCCGCGTTCATTTTGGCTATCCGGACATTGGACATGATACTTCTGATTGTCAGAGACTCATGCTCCAGCTCCAGGATCTCCCAAGGGACCTGCAGGACACATTTCACCACCTGCAGCTCCTTGGACCCCTTCTTCTGAATGATGCTATCAAAATCACAATCCAGCTGGTCACTGGTGATTGGCCCTGTTAGGATAGCCAAGGTGAACTCATGAAGTGTGTGGCTGAAGGGAGTGAAGAACAGGAAGGCCAGGTGGACATCAGGGCCCTGGTAGACCAACAGGCCCATACTGCCCTGGAAGCTGAGGCTCATCTACACCAAGGAGCAACTTTGGGCATAATGCTTCGGGTAATAGAGCCTGGGGAGAAAGGAAAGTTAGAAGTTACCACTGTGCTTTGTAGGAAGTGTTGCACATTGGATAAGATTAGAAGATCTGGAAGCCTCTACAGGTCAGACATGACTTAGGAGAAAGACATTCATCCATTCTTTCATGAACTGAGAAGACCTGGAGCTCCACCACCTCCTCCTGTGGAGCTCTTGTGATCTATGTTTACCATGTAAATGTTTTATGTATCCAACACTATGCTTATTAAGCATGTATCAGATGCTGGGCTAGGAGCTAACTCTTTGGCCTACATCAAATGTCATGATACCTGCCAGAATTCACAAGATCTGATCTCTGTCCATCTCTCCAATCACCTTTCATTCCGCGCTTCCCCTACCCTGATCCAGCAATAGCAGCTTTCTTCCTGTTCCTTGAATAGACTGATATAGTTTGGAAATTCATTCCCTCCAAATCTCACGTTGAAATGTGATCCCCAGTGTTGGAGGTGGGGCCCAGAGGGAGATGTTTGGATCATGGCGGTGGATCCTTCATGAATGGGTTGGTGCCTTCCCTGCGGTAATGAGTGAGTTCTTGCTCTATTAGTTCACTTGAGATCTGGTTGTTAAAAGGAAACTGGTACTTTCCTCCCTTCTCTCTCTCGCCATGTAACATGCCATCTCCCCTTCCCCTTCCACCAGGATTGGATGCTCCCTGAAGCCTTCACCAGAAGTAGATACAGGTGCCATGCTTCTTGCACAGCCTGCAGAACCATGAGCCAAATAAACCTCTTTCCTTTATAAATTACCCAGCCTCAGATATGCCTTTATATCAGTACAAAATGTTATAGACACAGGTAAGACATAGATCAAGGTCTTTCCCACTCCAGATACTTTGCATTTACTTTCCCTTTGCACAGAATTCTGTTCCCCAAGACTTCCTCATGGCCACCCCTTCTCAGTATTCAGCCCCAGGTGAAAGGTCTCTCCCTCGGGATGCCTTCCCAGACCCCCAGCCCCTTTCCTAAAAAGCCTTCACTTCACTCCTCAGCACACCGCAGGTTTGGTCGTCTCAACGGCACTTACTCTCCATGGCCATCCTGTTGACTCCTTTGTTTACCTGTTTATGTCATGTTGCCCCCCGGGAGGAGGTACCATTCTACAAGAGCAAGAGCCTCACCTGACCTGTATGCAGCCATGGCTGCAGGACCTGGGCAGACTGGATCTAGTCGGCATCCAGGAAATGTTTGTGGAACCAACGAATGAAAGAATGGACACTGGGGGGGGGGCAAAGTGATGTGGTTCCTGACCCCACACTGCTGCACACCTTGTTATGAGGAGAGAGAGTCAACAAATAAGCATAAATAAGCCCTGAGTTCTACAGGTGAGAAGGTGGGAAGTGGACAGGCACAGAGGAAGATCATGTGGAGACACAGGGAGGCACCATCTGCAAGCCAAGGAGAGACGCCTCAGGAGAAACCACCCCTGCTCACACCTTGATCTTGGACTTCCAGCCTCCAGAACTGCGAAACAATAAGTGTCTGTTATTTAAGTCACCTGATCTGTGGTGCTTTTTTGAGACGGAGTCTCCCTCTGTCAGCAGGCTGGAGTGCAGTGGCACGATCTGGGCTCACTGCAACCTCCACCTTCTGGGTTCAAGCGATTCTCCTGCCTCAGCCTCCCAAGTAACTGGGACTACAGGCGCGCACTACCACACCCAGCTAAGTTTTGTATTTTTAGTAGAGCAGGGCTTCTTCACCATGTTGGCCAGGTTGGTCTCGAACTCCTGACCTCGTGATCCACCCTCCTCCGCCTCCCAAAGTGCTGGGATTACACGCTTGAGCCACCACACCCAGCCTCTGTGGTACTTTTTAATGGCAGCCCCAGCAAACTAATATACAACCCCTCATTAGAAGACAGATGAGTAGCAAATAATCGACCTTCCCCATGCCAGGCAGGGCTTTTGGGGAAACTGTCTGGGGAACACAAACTGGTCCAGAGGCCCAGAGTGGCTTTCTCTTCCCTCTACCTTGCAACCCTGAGGTCACTGACTCAACCTGGTCCTCAGGGTGCTAATTATCTTGTCTAGGGACCAACTACACTGGAGCCAGGTGGGCCTTTGAAAAGGTGACTCAGATAAAGCTACTCCCCTGCTCAAAACTTAACAACAGCTTCCCACTATATGCAAAATAAAATTCTAACTCTTCCCCTGGTTTCTGTCATCGGGGTCCTGCCTGTGTCTTTGTGGCAGGCTGAATAATGGCTCCCAATGATGTCCCTATCCTAATCCCTGGAGCCCATGAATACGTGACTTTTTTTTTTTTTTTTTTTGAGACAAGGTCTCACTCTGTCACCTAGGCTGGAGTGCAGTGGTGTGATCTGGGCTCACTGTAACCTCTGCTACCCAAGGTTAAGCAATCCTCCCACCTCAGCCTCCTAAGGAGCTGGGACCAGAGGCATACACCACCATGCCTTGCTATTTTTTTGTACTTTTAGTAGAGATGGTGTCTTGCCATGTTGCCCAGGCTGGTCTGAACTCCTGAGCTCAAGCGAACTGCCTGCCTTGGCCTCCCAAAGTGCTGGGATTACAGGTGTGAGCCACTGCTCCTGGCCAGTATGTGACTTTCCACGGCAAAAGGGACTCTGCCAATGAGGTTAAGCTAAGGATCCTGAGATGAGGAGAGGATCCTGGGTATCTGGGTGGGTCCAATGGAATCACATGGGTCTTTCCTTATAAGAGCAAGGCAGGAGGTCAGAGCAAGGAGGAGATGAGATGACAAGCAAGAGGTTGAAGGAGGGGTCATGAGCCAAGGAATGTGGGTGGCCTCTAGAAGCTGAAAAAGGCAAGGAACAGTTTCCCCCGTGGAGCCTCCACAGAAGTCGGCCCTGCTAACACTTCGGGTTTTGCTCCTTAACACTCGTTTCAGATTTCTGACTTCTAGAACTGTATGAGTCCATTCTCACACTGTGATAAAGACACTACCTGAGACTGGGTAATGTATAAACAAAAGAAGTTTAACTGACTCACAGTTCCGCATGGCTGGGGAGGCCTCAGGAAACTTATTAGGTCGGTGTAAAAGTAATTGCGGTTTTTGCCATTACTTTTAGTTGCAAAACTGCAATTACTTTTGCACCAACCTAATACAGTCATGGTGGAAGCAGGGCATCTTCTTCACAGGGTGGCAGGAGAGACGAGAGAGAATGAGAGAGACAGAGAGAGACAGCAGGGGAAACTGCCACTCAAAAACCATCAGATCTCATGACAACCCCCTCACTCTCATGAGAAAAGCATAAGGCAAGCCACCCCCAAGATCCAATCACCTCCCACCAGGTCCCTCTCTTGACACGTGGGGATTACAATTCGAGATGAGATTTGGGTGGGGACACAGAGCCAAACCATATCGATAGAGTAAGCTATCTGTGGAGATATCTGTGGCCTTTCATCTGTGGCCTAGGAACAAAAGGAAAGACAGTTTCTTGCATGACTCAGCTTAGTTAAGCTTTCAGCTTAATTTTTTATTTTTTATTTTTTTATTTTTTATTTTGGAGGCAAGGTCTTGCTCTGTTGCTCAGCCTGGAGTGGGGTGGTACGATCATAGTTCACTGCAGCCTCAAACTCCTGGGCTCTGGCAATCCTCCCACCTCAGCCTCTTGAGTAGCTGAGACTATAGGCCTGTGCTACCACAGCCAGCTAATTTTTAAAATTATTTGTAGAGATGTGGTCTCACTATGTTGCCTCAGGCTGATCTTGAACTCCTGAGCTCAAGTGATCCTCCTGCCTTGGCTCCCCAAAGTGCTGGGATTATAGACATGAGCCACAGTGCCCAACCACAGCTTAAGTTTTTCCTTTTGGCACAGTGAATTGGGGTCGTGAGATTTCATTTTCCTTTCACAGAGATATGGTTTGGCTCTGTGTCCTCAACCAAATCTCATCTCAAATTGTAATCCCCTCTTGTTGTGGGAGGAGCCTGGTGAGAGGTGATTGATGGGAGTGTACTTCTCCCTTGCTGTTCTGGTGATAGTGAGGGAGTTCTCATGAGATCTGGTTGTTTAAAAATGTGTAGCACTTCCTGCTTTGCTCTGTCTCTCTCCTGCTCTGCCATCGTAAAGATGTGCTTGCTTCCCCTTCACCTTCCACCACGATTGTAAGTTTCCTGAGGCCTCTCAGTCATGCTTCCTCTTAAGCCTTTGGAACTGTGAGCCAATTAAACCTCTTTTCTTCATCAATTACCCAGTCTCAGGTAGTTCTTTATAGCATGTGAAAATGGACTAATATACACAGAGACAAGCATGGAACAAATTCTCCCTCACAGATCCCAGAAGGAACCAGCACTGCTGCTACTGTGAATTCACACTTCCAGCCTCCAGCACCATGAGACCATCAATTTCAGTGAAGCCACCCAGCCAATGGTATTTTGTTACAGCAACCCTAGCAAACAAACACAGCCTGCTTCACTCTTCAGAAAACCATTCACTCCTGACCCTGTTCGTGGTCAGTCCACTACTGAGACACAAGCTCAAGTGGGGGAGAAACTACCTATCTTTTTTCACCCCTTCAGCCCTCCTGCCTGTTGCAGAGAAAGTTCTCCAACAGATACTTACAGAATGAGTATAGGCATCAGAGTGACTATGGTCTCCCACCTACATGGCCGCGTTCCTCATCTCTCTAAGGATCTTCTTCTTGTTTTCCCTGACGTTCATCTTGGCTAATGCCAAGAGTGGCATCACCACATCTAGAGTGTAGGTGTCAGCGAGCTTGAATGTGTCGTATGTGTCACTCCATGCCTCAATATCATCTGAAGCATAACCAAACCAATAAAGAAAATGCATCGTGAGTTTGGACAATTAATTCTGCAGATTTTGTCTGTTTACATCAGGGCTTGTCAAACTACAGTTGTAGACCAAATCCAGTCAGCCCACCACTTTGGTTTTATAAATAAAGTTTTACTGACACATGAGGTTATGGATTTATCTATATTTTTATGATCCATGCCCCTTCCAGTCTTTTGAGACAGAGTCTCACTCTTGTCTCCCAGGTTGGAATGCAATGGCACTATCTTGGGTCACTGTAACCTCCATCTCCTAGGTTCAAGTAATTCTCCTGCCTTAGCCTCCCAAGTAGCTAGGATTACGGGCATGCATCACCACACCTGGAGAATTTTTTGTATTTTTTAGTAGAGATGGGGTTTCACCGTGTTGGCCAAGCTGGCCTTGCACTCTTGACCTCAGGTGATCTGCCCCTGCTTGGCCTCCCAAAGTGCTGGGATTACAGGTGTGAGCTACCGCGCCTGGCCCCCCACTTCCTGTCTTCTTTACTACTCCAGCCTGCCTCTCCTGGAACTACGGCTGATGCAGCATAGGTAACCAATAAGTGTTTGTTAAATGAAGGAAGAAAACAGACACAATTTATCCCTAATGGGAGTCTCATCGCAGGAGACATGATTGACAAGCTAAAAGGAGTCCACTGTGGGAAGTGGTACAATCAGGCCCTGGAGTACCACCTATCCTGGATTCTAGGCCTTCCAGGCAGCTGCTCACCTGAGACTGGATGAGGAATGTGGGATGTCCAGGTGGAAGGCGTTGGATATTCAGGTAGGACAAGAATGCCGCAGAGAGGCAGCAACATGCAGAGGCATGCAAGACCGAGGGAGGCAGCCTGGCATCCTCCAGGCCCGAGGGTGGACAGGATGACTCACTGGACCATCAGATGTTGGAGCATAACGAGATGTCCCCCAGGGCACAGCACAGATCCATTCAGCCTGGCCTGGTGTTGATATGGTTTGGCTGTGTCCCCACCCAAATCTCATCTTGAATTGTAGTTCCCATAATCCCCAAGTGCCGTGGGAGGTAATTGAAGCATGGAAGTGGTTACCTTCATGCTGTTCTCGTGACAGTGAGCGAGTTCTCACGAGATTTGATGGTATGTATTAATTTATTTGTTTGAGAAGGAGTCTCGCTCTGTTGCCAGGCTGGAGTGCAGTAGCGTGATCCCGGCTCACTGCAACCTCTTCCTCCCAGGTTCAAGTGATTCTCCTGCCTCAGTCTCCTGAGTAGCTGGGATTACAGACACGCGCCACCATGCCCAGCAATTTTTTTTTTTTTTTGTATTTTCAGTAGAGACAGGGTTTCAATGTGTTAGCCAGGATGGTCTCGATCTCCTGACCTTGTGATCCACCTGCCTCGGCCTCTCAAAGTGCTGGGATTACAGGTGTGAGCCACCACGCCCAAATGATCTGATGGTTTTATAAGCATCTGGCAGTTCCCCTGCTGGCACTCACTTCTCCTTCCTGCCGCCTTGTGAAGAAGGTGCCTTGCTTCCCCTTCGCTTTCCACCATGATTGTAAGTTTCCTGAGGCCTCTCCAGCCATGCTGAACTGTGAGTCAATTAAACCTTCCTTTGTAAATTACCCAGTCTCAGGTATGTCTTTATTAGCAGTGTGAGAACAGACTAACATAGGTGGCTTCTCAACCTGCTTCTCCCCTGCACCTACCTCCACAGGCATCCATGTTGAACAGGGGAAAATGCATCACCACTGGTCCGGTTTCTCCTTTCAGGATGTAGCAGCTGGCGGGGGCCTTGGACCACAAATCCAGCTTAGCCTCTTCTACATGGGGAAAGGGGATCTTGTGGCGGCGGCAATAGTCAGTGGTAGCCCGGATGGTCTGAGAAGGAGGCAATAAGAAACTGTTGCAAGACCTCTCCCAGAAGACCTCCGGGGCCTGGAGACCTGACAGGACCTCAGCTAACAGTCCAGACACACGACAGAGCAGGGCTCAGCTTGGACAGGGACAACATCTTCTGCAAGGGAAAGAGTGAGCCTCTGCCATCACCCGCACGCCGAGTCCACCTGGAGACAATATTTGCGAGGTTAGAGAGTAACCTTTTGGGCTGGGGGCTGTGGGACTCAGAGGACAAGGAAAATGGTGCCTAGATGAGGCTTTGAATCCCAGCTCTGCCACAGAAAGATGTTGGAGACCTCATCTCTACAATAATTTTTTTTTTTCAATTAGCCAGGCATAGGGGCATGCACGGGTAGCCCTAGCTACTCAGGAAGCTGAGATGGGAAGACCATTTGAGCCCAGGGGTCCAAAGAGATGTGTGGTATGGGTACATCTCACCACCTCTGCAAAGGAGCTCTGTAATATCCACCTCACAGGGGTATTTGGAAGATAAATGAGATATTCTCCATCATCACTGTGTAACAGAAATATAATGTCACCGTGAAGGTACTTTTCTTTTGTTTTCTTATTTTTTAGATGGAGTTTCACTCTTGTTGCCCAGGCTGGAGTGCAATGGCACGATCTCGGCTCACCGCAACCTCTGCCTCCCGGGTTCGAGCGATTTTCCTGCCTCAGCCTCCTGAGTAGCTGGGTTTACAGACATGTGCCACCATGCCCAGTTAATTTTGTATTTTTGGTAAAGACGGGGTTTCTCCATGTTGGTCAGGCTGG